AGGCATCCGCTGCAAAAAAATCCAGTTTCTCCTTGGATGCTGACGTTGTTTTCAATTATCCATTTAATGTGCCTGAGTTGTAAACATTTGGAGTTTGTGTTGTTTCAATCTATGTAGTTTCAATCTCAATACAGAATCGCATACTCACTGTAAATCAAAATACAGACTGTTTGATTTCCATAATAATAATAATAATTTAGAAAAGTTTCGGGAAAATCGATAAAATGAAACGGTTCCAAAACCAAAAGTAACAAATAACCCTATTTCATAACTTTTGTTTTACAATGACCAATTTTTTGTACTACTACTCCTTAGAATGGATTCTTGAAGGTGATCTAATTGCACTTTATTGTATAAATAAATTTGTGATTTTAAATTAGGAGCAATTTTATCAATAAAACCATAAATATAAAATAGAATAATCATTCACAACGTCTTTGTATTGCAAAAATGAAACGGTAAACTTATCAACATATGGTTCCATTGGATGAACTAACGAAAAGTAAGTAAAATTATGCAGGTTTGTGTGACGGTTTAACGTTTATTTAATGTAAGATATGACAGTGAACTTGATAAAATCCACACACAATATTCGTGATATTAACTATGCTGGTATGCGTTGGACTGGAATCCATTCGAGGTAGATATTCTAAAATGAACAACATTTTTGCGACTTCTACCATCAGTTTATAATTTGACGGTGATCAAATAATACCACATTACTGCTTCTCAAAATATTTTTTTGTAAATTTATTTCTGTGCGTAATTCAAACGAAAATGTTGTTGAAAAAGGATAAATAATAAATTCTCATTGCTTGTTCATTGTCAATTGCTTTAAAATTACGCTTTCAATTAAAATAAATGTAAATATTCTAGATTTAAAAGGCATTTGCCCAAGAGGTGAACATTGTGTGCATCATAAATTTTCGCTGACCATCGAAAAGCGAAATTTTCGTGAAAGAAACAGAGTCAAGCCCATAAATGTCGCATTTCAAGAGCTTCAGCTTACCATACCATCGATTTCGCAACTCAATAAACGAACGTCCAAAGTTAAAATTCTTACTCTGAGAATTTCTATAATTTAAAAGTATTCTTTTTTCATTTAAACGTTCAAAAAAAATGTACAAAAATAAAGAGAATGTATTCATCTTCAACGGTATCATTTATATGTCACTATAGCGTGTTGATCAATAAGAAACTCGTTGGCTTGATCAGTTGACGCGCCGAATTTTGTCACACTAAATCGTATGCGGTCAAGAGTTCGAAACCACAGAATTTTTTTTTTTAATTTCTACTCTGAAAAACTAAACTCCAAACGAAAAAATGTCAGCGTGCTAACACAATATGATGTTTCTCTTCTCTGTATTTCGTTACTTTTTCAAAATATTACTCATATTGTATAAATACTTTTAATGAATCATAATGAAATTCAGAGAAGAGAAACAGCATATTCTGTTAACGCGCTGACATTTTTTTCGTTTGGAGTTTAGTTTTTCTTATAACATTTTTTTCAAACATATTTTTCGCGTTGAGATTTATTAAATCAGAGTAGAAATTAAAAAAAATATTAATCTTCTGTGGTTTCGAACTCTTGACCGGAAAAATATGTGTTAAAAAAACTATTAGAATAAAAAAAATCGTCATATTGTAATTTTTTTATCGATAGCATTCTTTAAGAACATTTAAATGAAAAAAGAATACTTTTAAATTATAGAAATATACAAATTGACGACAAAATGCCATTTTAACATGAACATATTTTTTAACATGTTAAAATGGCATTTTACCCGTAAACAAAATGTGTTGCGGTTAAATTGGCATTTTAACATGTGAGAAAATATTTCCATGTTAAAATGGCATTTTGGTCTAATTACTTTGAATTTTAACATATGTATTTTCTCAGAGTATGAAAGCCATTCAGCATATCAAAGAATTGGAAGCATTACTGTTTTACAATTTTCTGCAGCAAAACAACGAAAATTAAGAAAAAAAATTATTTTATTCATATTTTGCATAATTATTGTTAAAATGTGTGTATGATTGTTACTTTTAAGACATTGACTTTTATTATTTTTACAAATACAAGCAGTAGTATACTTTTATACATTTCGTCCAACCATAGGCAACAGAGGGGGTATTCAATGCAAGCAAATGCGCGATGATGATGGCTGGATTTCATCTTTCTGAATTTTTTTTTTACAGAACAGTTTCAGGATTTTAAATGTTAATTTAAATATTTATCCATTATTCTCGTAAAAAGGCGAAAATTTGATGGCAATCGATCGACGCGTTTCAATTTTATGATATTTTTTTTAAGTTTTCGGTCTAATAGACCGTTATAGTAGAAATTGTTTCACCAGAATAGAGCATTTTGGATGCCTCGGATTCATAGTGTTCCGAAAGCTCGGTCTTCAACATTTTTATCATCTCGAATTTGAGAATTTGAATTGAAAACCGCTTTCTATTTTTCAATTGCCAAACGTGTGCGTGCAAGTCTATCTCAAAATTATGTCCAGGGACCGGTTCGTGCATATTTCCATGCTTGCCTGAATACGCTAGGTAGCATAGATATGCCAAGCATAGCGGCAAATGCAACCGACGCATCGCCGTCCACTCTGTATGAACATACACATGTTCGTGTATGCAGGCGGCCGTGCTTTGAGAGACGTACGCATAAGATATAGCTCGAATCGAATGGCGACGGGTGCGTTGCGGCTTGCCTCTCCGCTATGCTTAGCATAGCTATCAGGCATAGAAATATGCGCGAACCGGTCCCTGATTATGTCTCAAAGTCAAATACTTAATGGTAATCTGTCTCGACAATGTAATTAACCAGTATTAAGAGAATGAAATGAAACTCATTAGATCATCATAATTGCAAAATATACATAATGAGCAATGTCCCAAATATTTATTTATGCATTGTCATACATAATTTTGTCAAACATTCGATGCACTCATTGTGTCTTAAACCTTTATATAGTGCACATATATTTTTTGGAAAGAAGCAGTGCTTAACTTCAAAATGAAATTAATAACTGCAGTGATTCTCTTGTTTTGTGCTAAAATATCATCATGTCTGCACTGCAATTGCGGTAAGATTTTTTTTTGAAAATTTCACAGTATTCACTAGCAGTCGTTGTCGCATCCGAATTTTGTGTAAATTCTAAGAAAAAACTATGGAAAAAGTGTAAAATCGTGAACAAGTGATAATTTTGATAAAACTAATTCGGCAAAATTAAACAAAAAAAATCTGCTCTAATAGAAATGCTTTATTTGGCCTCCCCAACTCATATCAGCAAAAAAATTTTTTTGAGTTACACATTAGAATAGGGACCCTGTTATTTGAGACACCCTGTATGCAAGCGTATAGCATTCTTTGTTTTTGTTTTTCTGTTACCGTTTCATCAATATCATCAATAAATAAATCGATATAAACCAGTGATTGTTATATAGCTTCCAGCATCCGTTGGATAGCTGAACGCACTGAATTCATCCAGATATGAGGCATTTGCTACTTGGGTCGCTCAATAAATAGAAAGAGAGAGTAAATCAGCCAAAATGATACTTTAATTGTTGTTTTTTTTTAGAATTGGGAGTTCCACGTAACTACAGCGGGTATTTCAATGAGCCCACTACACTTAGACGACCATGGTCAGTTATCATTCTACAATTTGGTTACGAACGCTGTTATGGTGTCATCGTATCGAATACACACATTCTAACCACTGAAGATTGTATTATACCGTACAAAGGAAAGCCTGCTAATGCACTGGAAGATTATACGTATCTACCCCGAAACTTTTGGTAATAGTTTAAATATAAAATACCTTTTGCCTAAAATTAAGAATTAAAGTGCTTCTTCGAAAAGTAACAAACACAAAAAAATTTTTGTACATGTCAACCACCATAAGAAATCAGCTTGTATAGTAAGTTGCCGTATCATTCTTAGACTCTTTCTGCATTTTCTATTTTTTTTCACATACGTCCAAATTTTAGAATTCATATTTTTGAAAAACGATATTATCGTTGAATTTTTTTTCATAACTCCAGTTGTTTGGAAGGTACATCTTGATATTTTTCAAAGACACTTTTCTTTGATCTTGCTTGTATTGTGACTATCCGCTATGAAGATTGACATGTTCAAATTTTGTCTACTATTATAATAACTTGAAACTATTTATTTTTTCTTTCGCTAGGATTCCTTATACTGAAGTTAAATTCAACAGTAAACTCCATATTAAAGTGAAAACTGTTTTCATACATCCCGATTTGAATTCCTTCCAATCAAAAATTGCAATTGTGGAATTAAAAGAGGCCATTCGTCTTGATGAATATAAACAAGCAGCGTTCTTGCCTCGTGAAGCAGTAAATGTTTACGGGGCTCGAACGACTGTTGGACTTTCACATGATGTTAATGGAGGATTTCTAACTACGGAGAAAATCAATGCTTTTGTATGGTCAAAAGAGATTTGCAGCCTATTCAATAACGGTGATGAGGACTCTCTAATGTGCATTGATATTGATGATGACTGTTCAGGATGTAATTTATGCCCGGTAAAATTCATTGATATAAAAATTTTGTTCTAAATCTCTAACTATGTGCATTTATTTACAGGGAATTTTAAACCAAGCATTATTCCATGTCAAAAATGATGTAATGGAGCTCCTTGCATTACCTAGGTACTGCAAAACAGTTTCATTCAACGAATCGACTTACATGGAAGAGATAAGAACAGTACACGTTTATTTTCCCATAGGGAATTTCATTCCATGGATTCAACACATCCTTTCCAAAAGATGTGGTTGCAGTTCAGTTACCTCTCCTATAATTGAAGGCAAAGATGCCATAGTTTTTTGATACATAAAATCACCATTTTTGTGTTTGCATGGAATTGAAATAAGATCTTTTAAACCAACATGTTCTTCATCAGTTACTTCTACATTAGCGTACATACAAAATTAAATTATTTCAAAATTTATCTTACAATATCTTGTGTGAGGGTGGTGTGAGGGTTCGCGTGACCGCTTATCTCTTTTCCCCGCACGCATTTGCTTGCATTTAATAACCCCCCCCTCTTGGTTGCCTATGGTTGGACGAAATGTACAAAAGTATACTACTACGAGCTCATACAATATGTGGATCATGCAATACATGACACTATCCTGATAAGTTGGACTTGGAGAGAAATGCATTAATTTCCGATAGGTCTAAGTCGAATAAAGTTAATTATATCGTGGATAGAATAAAGTTTACGTTTCCTTTTAATTAATTTTTATTTGTTTGATTCATTTTGTTAAGTACTTTTTTGATAATTTTAATTTCAATGTTATTCCACTTAATTTTCAGATCTTCGTGAATTTTAAATTGAGATGATTTAACAAATATAATATGGGGTGTTAACTTCTTTCTCTTTTCCTGTTATAGAACAATACCTAGTTGGCCAGCTGCCAAACTCAAATATGAATTTTCATGGTTCAAGTGACAGGGACAACCACATAGATTTGACAAGGTTCTTCGCAAATAGATTTTTTATTTGCAAGAGAGATGATACTAAAGAAAGTTTTTTTAAACTCTTGTATGTCAATGTATGTCAATGAAAAGATTCATTTCATTTTATGCCTTAAATTAGAACGATAATATTAAACATAATAACACATTTGAATATTTAAATAGAAACTGAATGCACTTAAACTTATTTTCAACATGCTTGCCAAAACACATATGAAACTTCTTAATCTAAAACAATAACTTCGGTATCACTTTTGCGAGTTTTCGATGATTGAATGGCCTTTAAATTGATTTACTTGTTGAACTTGGCCGGGATTGAGAGTTTGCGTCATGAAACTGTTGATGGACTCCTCGACATTGGTGGATTTTTAACGTTGGTAATGTTGGGTGTTTGAAATGATGGTTGCTTTGATTTTTGTGTGGTTTTTTCAGTCATTTGCGGCGTTGTACGTCCTTGCAGTTGTTCCAATTGTTTGACTTTAATCGTTGATTTCGGTTGTTGAGTTGTTGCTTGACTCGTAACTGTGCTTGATTTCGTTGGTTTGGGTGCCGCAAGTGGAGCTGTTGGTATGCCAGATATGAATTGTTCATAGTGCGATAAGAAATTGTATGGATTTGGAGCCAATTGCATTGGACTTGATTGGAGTGATTTTTTGAGTAATTCCATTCCGGGTATTCGAGATGTTGCCTTTTTCGATTGGGGTGTAATCATTTTGTTACCATCCATTGATTTCTTCTATGGTTTGGTTTCTTTTACCGGTTTGCCAGTTTGAAGAAGATCAACGTTTATCGGTGATTTGGTCGATAATTTTGGTGGTACAAATGAACTTGGCGATGGTATTATGCTGAGTGATTTCGGCAAATTCATTGCATCCATCGGAATGGGTTGCATAACTGGGTAGGGATTTGCACCGAGAGACGATCGTTCGGCTTTCTGTGTTATTTTTGCCGGTTTATTTCCGGTCAAACGTCGAACTTTTGACTCATTGCAAATGGACTTTTGGCTTGTTGTTTTAATATTTTGATAAAATATTTACCAATTCCATAATTAACCACCGAATGTTGTTCCAAATATTTGATAATTGTCGCCGTGATTCGATGGAATATTTCTAGAGCTTCAAGTGCCAAATTTTGTGGATTGGCCGAACTGATTTTAAACGGATATGTGGCATTGTTCTCATACAAATATTGAGCCGATTTAAGATAATGATCGATAACAACATTTGGTGGCTTTTCCATTGGTGGCTTTTCCATTTCCGCAACGTGTGCTTAGATCGATTTCAGCTGGTATAATCGCAATAATTCGTTGAAATAATTGTTCCATTTCATTTGTAATGGAGTCGCGTTTGAAATCGTCAAATTCTGGCAATTTATCGGGCCGATAAATATCGTACAGTTGTATGGCATGATTCCAGTCCAATTCGATATTTTGTGATTCATGCTTTTCAAGGTGTTTAAGACGTGCCCGTTTGCCCGGATATCGTAGCCGTGCAGTGGAGGGCGCGTAATGGAACTACGAGCCAATCACTTTTGGCAACACTGTTCGTAGTGTTTTGACATTTCATGAAATGTGACTTTAATGTTTGTTGATATGAACCGTGTTTGAGTTTTTGAAATTCTAATTTATTATTGTGAGTTTTTATATGTACAGTGAAAAAAATGTGTGAAAACATATGTAAGTATTGAAAATTTCAAAAAAACAAGTGTACATTTCTTGAATTGAATTGGTTTTTCTTTAAGTAGTCAGTCAAAAATATATTTCTTTTTACTACATGTGTTTGTTATGAGTATCTCTGAGCGGTGCAATGTGAGTGTGTAAATGTGTTACGGCTGGAAAAAAAATATGCTAGCGGTGGCACAAGTGTATTTACTCGACCGTAATCGACAGAACGGATAACTAACTTTCAATAATTCTGAAGAAAACTCAATAATATTTTTTAAAAATATTGAACTTAATGACGCTTAATGAAGTAATAACAAACACATGTAGTAAATAAAAAGGAACTTACATCCGTAAGTCTAACTTTTCCGCACTGTTTCCAAATTTCTTCCTTTACCGAACTGGTAGTGCAGTACTAATTCAATAACTACCGAATTATATTGTCTAAGAGCAGTCAAGTTTTTTGGCCAATTATTAAAGTATTGACGTATAAATATTTCAAAATGTGTAGCGTGTCTATTGTACGGAAAGAAAAAATCTTCAAAAATGTGATTTTTTTAGGCAATTTTAATACAAATTGAAGATACCTCCCTCCTGAAGAAAATTTTGTATGGGGAGTACTTCTATTTGTGATTGAAATTTCTTCCAATTTGGTGTAATTATGTATTTTGATGAGAAATAAGATCCACAAGTTTTAATTGTGATTAAGTTAATGCAAGCATACATTTTGGAAAGAAATTCGATCAAATTCGAGTCAACAAAACGCTCTTATTAACTTTTCAACTAAAAGTAGGGGTACTCCCCATACAAAATTTTCCCAAAAACGAAAAATTTGTATGGGAGGTACTCCTAATTTTGATTGAAATTTCTTCAAACTTTTAGAATGTCATTTTTTGTTAAAAAATAGCCTGTGCAGAGTTTCACGTCATCAAGGTTGCATAAAAGCATGGCTCCCATACAAAATTTCAATTTTTCGCGATTTTTTTCAAAGAAACACTGTTAAAACTTGATTGTATTTCAAAATTAACGTCGGTTTCGGGTTTCTCGTGCCAAATTTTTGCATACCATACCCCTTATGGGTACTCCATCATGGTTTCACCATGGATACACCGATGCACGAATATCGCTGAAAAACAATACCAGCCTATTCCTCGCAACCCCCAACCAACCTGTAAAATCAGATTTGGATTTGCTTTTCTCTAAGAAGAGTTATCGTGCTAACAAATTACCTATTGATTTTTTGCGTACACCATACAGGGTACAGTGTACAGTGTACAGTGTACAGTGTACTGTGTACAGTGTACCACATCCCCACATTAACATGGCCAAAAAACTGTTGCTCTGTGATTTTCTATACCCAAAACGCATAGAAAAACGATTTTTAGCGATTTCAAAATTTTGGGGTGATTGCAATACTTTACTGCACACAGTGGGTGTGCGGAAAAGTAAAAGAAATATATTTTTGACTGACTCCTAAAAGAACAACGCACCTTGTAAATAATAAGAAATTTTACCAATTCAATTCAAGAAATTTACACTTGTTTTTTTGAAATTTTCAATACTTACATATGTTTTCACACATTTTTTTCACTGTACATATAAAAACTCACAATAATAAATTAGAATTTCAAAAACACAAACACAGTTCATATCAACAAACATTAATGTCACATTTCATGAAATGTCAAAACACTACTAACAGTGTTGCCAAAAGTACTGATGGGCGCGTAAATGTGATGGCGCCACTAGTAAAAAAAATACTACACTGCGCAGGGATGCCGGATATCGGTAGAGACAATACGTGACTTGTTCCAAATATTCGACGATTTCATTGCGACATCGTTCCAAGTATGGTGTTCGCAAGCGTGGCGTTACGGTATCCATAATAAATAGTAGAAACTGACCACTATCTTTGGTGCACCATGTACGATTGCCGAGATATTCATGCACTGTGAAGAACACTGAAATCGATTTTGGAATTGAATCCTCTTCGTAATCGGTGATTTATATTAGAGCAAAGATATTTTTTTACTCAGTTCTGCCAAGTCCATATAGATGGGTTATTTCGTAGTATGAATTTTTTAAAAAATATATCCACGCAATTTCCGTCGGGTTGTATCCAGCAAAGGCGTTGAGGCTCCGATTTCAAAGCGCACTGTGGCACATTGAATCTAAATGTTACGCTTATGATTCTGACTACAAAATGTAAACCATCCAAGCATGCTAAAAATTTATCATCGCAAGAACATTCGGACAACGTGTATTGAAAAGGATTTTCCAGAAAATGTTTGAATTCATGGGGCGCCCATGACTCGGTACAGTTGTCATGTAGTTTGCAATAGGCATCCGCTGCAAAAAAATCCAGTTTCTCCTTGGATGCTGACGTTGTTTTCAATTATCCATTTAATGTGCCTGAGTTGTAAACATTTGGAGTTTGTGTTGTTTCAATCTATGTAGTTTCAATCTCAATACAGAATCGCATACTCACTGTAAATCAAAATACAGACTGTTTGATTTCCATAATAATAATAATAATTTAGAAAAGTTTCGGGAAAATCGATAAAATGAAACGGTTCCAAAACCAAAAGTAACAAATAACCCTATTTCATAACTTTTGTTTTACAATGACCAATTTTTTGTACTACTACTCCTTAGAATGGATTCTTGAAGGTGATCTAATTGCACTTTATTGTATAAATAAATTTGTGATTTTAAATTAGGAGCAATTTTATCAATAAAACCATAAATATAAAATAGAATAATCATTCACAACGTCTTTGTATTGCAAAAATGAAACGGTAAACTTATCAACATATGGTTCCATTGGATGAACTAACGAAAAGTAAGTAAAATTATGCAGGTTTGTGTGACGGTTTAACGTTTATTTAATGTAAGATATGACAGTGAACTTGATAAAATCCACACACAATATTCGTGATATTAACTATGCTGGTATGCGTTGGACTGGAATCCATTCGAGGTAGATATTCTAAAATGAACAACATTTTTGCGACTTCTAC